TTTTGTATCATCAATTGTCAACACTTCTAGTGACATTACTTGCAAAATACTCTGATTAAAATATAATTGTGGTGCAGGTCTTGGCGTTGTTACCTCACCTGCGCCTTTTATTTCCTTCCAGGCATGCAGTGGCAAAACTGCATCTTTCAACTCTCCCCCTTTTATCTGATGTAGTGGATGACAGGTAATCTAGCTGAAAGTTCCTACAATTGCACCGCGAGAAAAACAGTGCCTGATGAAATCTGAGCAGTTATCACACTAACCATCACCTGTCAAGCCTCCTGCTTCAATTTAAGGGTGCATCAATTTTCTGAAGAGGAAATCAAGGGCAGAGAATAAAAGCGTTACAGATAAACACTGACAAAGGCCCTTCTGCTTTTTTTTTTTTTTTTGCTTTTTTTATGATGAGATGTACTATCATAGGTTGCTCTTGGAGGTTTTATCAACTGTCCTGATACATTCCAGATAGCTCGGAATCCTTTGGCCATTGATGAAGTGCTAAAACTTGCACTTACTGAAAAGGGCACAAGATTTCTAACTGAAAATTACTTTCACTAAATACCACCAAGATATTGAAGGGAGAGAGCAGGGAGATGGAACAAATGACAGCTGCATATAACAATGGACCTCCCTGTTCTCTCCAATGGCAGACAAGGCTGATTAGACTAAGAACATGAAATAATGTTTTCTCAAAGCCACAGAGCATATTGTGCAAAGTGTCAAGGTAGAAAAAAAATACAGAGGACACAGAATTTCTGTGTTCAGAGTAATAAGATACAGTCATGTTGGGCATTGTTTATTCATGCTTGTTTATTTTGATTTGTTGCTTTTTATGTCGGAATAGCTGTTTTTGACAGATTTGTTGTCCCGTGTTTAGTGAGCTCCATTATTTTCACAGAAGCAAAAAAATGATTTAACACATAAATCCCCCTCCTTTCTTAGGCCCCCTTCACATGGGCAATACTGCTGACTTGCAATCCATGGTAGATCACTTTGTCAGTAGTGGCTGGCCCATGGCTAGCAGGCGATCAGGAAGCAATATGCTGTCTCCTGCACACTTTTTTTTTAAAAAGAAATTTCACACTGATATTCCTCTTCACCTCATCGTAATCGTGTCCACTAGATGGGCTTACAGCCTGGCACATCCCCATTCACTTCTATTGGAAATTGCCTTCCTAACGCAATCCGCCCTATATTTTTTCGCATGACGCAAAGCTTTGCAGTTGCCTCAATATCTCTGGGGCTGTCCGACAATATCTGTTGCAAAAGTGTGTATGGAGCTGTCTGGCAACTATTTCCAGGTTTTGACAGGCAGCTGAGGCACGTTAAAAACATGCCTCAACAATTATTGTTATTATATTATTATACAGGATTTATATAGCGCCTGCAGTTTGGGCAGCACTTTACAATATTAGGGAGACAGTACAATTACAATACAATAAAATACAAGAAGGTTAAGAAGGTCCTGTTCATAAGAACTTACACTCTAATAGGGTGGGGCAAGTGGTACAAAAGGTAATAACTGTGAGGGATGAGTTGATGGATGAGTTAAAAGTTCAGCTGTTAGTTGGGGGCGTGATAGGCTTCTCTGAAGAGATGAGTCTTCAGGGATCGCCTGAAGGCGGCCAGAGTAGGAGATAGCTAGAGAGATTGAGGTAGAGAGATCCAGGGGATGAGAGAAGCTCTGGAGAAGTCCTAGAGATGAGCATGAGAGGAGGAGACAAGAGAACTTAACAGCAGGAAGTCTTGGGAGGAGCTGAGAGGAAGGTTTGGGTCAGAGGCATAACAAGACCCTCCAGGGCCCCGGTGCAAGAAATGATGAAGGGCCCCCTTGACCTGGTCCCGAGGCCCTTTCCATTGGTCCCAGGGCCCTTTACTACCATCACGGGGCCCTTTATTATGGTAAACAATAAAAGAAGAAAATGTGGTAAATGAGGACACCAACTAAGACTAGCCTGTATTAGAAATGTAAAAAAGTTTATTTTCAAATAACCATGCATATACCCAAGAATAATAGATGTGATCAAAATAGCAAAACCACAAGGAAAAAACAGAAAATAAATGAAAAACTATCCTGGGTCAGACCAAAAAGAACCCTTCCAGCTCCCTCCCAACACTCAGTGACCCACCACCACAGTCCCTGCTAAACCAGCCTGCATTGAAAAAGAACAGTAAAACAATACAGAAAGGCAATGCACTAATACCTCTGTTAGAATTGTAAATGGGGCAACTATACTATATATCAAAGTATGCAAAGTAAATTAGCGCGCTATGTGTGATTTTGTGTTATCTACACTTCTATATTGTAAATGTTTCTATAAGACATATGCACTAGTTGGTAAATTGCATTTATTTGAAAATTGTTGTAGAGAGATATATCAATATTTAAAGGGACCATGCACCATTTTTAATATTTGATATACTGTATTTTCCGGAGTATAAGATGACTTTTTACCCCTTGAAAATCTTCTCAAAAGTCGGAGGTCGTCTTATATGCCGGTATACGGCATGCTGATACTTTTTAGGGGGGCGGCGCAGTGCCGCCGCTGCCCCCCCCTTCCAACGGAAGGGTCACTAAGTACAGGGGTGGGCAGGGGCTGCTGTTTCTTACCTGGCTCCGGTCCCACGACGATCCAGTCCAGGAAGCGCGGCTGCTCCTTCATTCAGTTTGGCCACTGGATGTTCGTGCGGCTGCTCGGCTCCGCCTCCTCACCGGTGATTGGCCGCCAGAACTGTAGCTCAGGAAAGGCACACAGGCGGCCAATCACCGGCGAGGAGGCGGAGCCGAGCGGCCCTGCAAAAATCGAGTGAAGGAGGGGCCGGTAAGTGTGCCGTGCAGATGGTGCTGCTGCAACCACATATGCTGGCTGCAGCAGCACCGTACTGGAACAGGGGTCAGCAAGTGTCATTGGTGTCAGTGGGAGGAATAGTGCCCCATCATTGGTGTCACTGATACCAATGATGGGGCATTATTCCTCCCACTGACACCAACGATGGGGTACTTTTCCTCCCCCCAACTGACACCAACGATGGGGCACTATCCTCCCCCCCCCCACTGACAACAACGATGGGGCACTATTCCACCCCCCACTGACACCAATGATGGAACACTATTCCTTCCCCCACTGACACCAATGATGGGATACTATTCCTCCCACTGACACCAATGTTGGGACACTATTCCTCCCACTGACACCAATGTTGGGACACTATTCCTCCCACTGACACCAATGTTGGGACACTATTACTCCCACTGACACCAATGACAGGGCACAATTCCTCCCACTGACACCAAAGATGGGGCACTATTCTCCCCACTGATACTAATGATGGGGCACTATTCCTCCCACGGATACCAATGATGGGGCACTAATCCTCCCACTGACACCTATGATGGGGCACTATTCCTCCCACTGACACCAATGATGGGGCACTATTCCTGCCACTGATACCAATGATGGGGCACGATTCCTCCCACTGACACCAATGATGGGGCGCTATTCCTCCCACTGACACCAATGATGGGGTGCTATTCCTCACACTGACACCAATGATGGGACACTATTCCTCCCACTGACACCAATGATGGGACACTATTCCTCCCACTGACACCAATGATGGGACACTATTCCTCCCACTGACACCAATGATGGGGCACTATTCTTCCCACTGACACCAATGATGGGGCACTATTCCTCCCACTAATACCAATGATGGGGCACTATTCCTCCCACTAATACCAATGATGGGACACTATTCCTCCCACTGACACCAATGATGGGACACTATTCCTCCCACTGACACCAATGATGGGACACTATTCCTCCCACTGATACCAGTGATGGGGCACCATTCCTCCCACTGACACCAATGATGGGGCACTATTCCTCCTGCAAGAGGGGTAGTCTTATACGGCGAGTATAGCCCAAACACTATATTTTAACAGGAAAAGTAGGGGGTCGTCTTATACGCCCAGTCATCTTATACGCCGGAAAATACAGTATGTAAGTCCCAATTAAAAACATAAGCGGACTAAAGGTCAGTGTGGTGTAAAAATGGCATGCCAAAACGTTATCCTCTGGTGGTGGACTGCTATCCATGTCACTATGGCCAGTGTGGAATATATTGCACATTGGCCGTAGTGACATGGATGGTTCAGCTGCACTTTCTGAGTGATGTGTAGCAGGTAGGCTCACAGTGTGCAATGAAAATGGCTCAACTGCCCTCCTATAGGTGTATAACTGAAAGGCTATGACCTTGATGGATGGATTTTTTTGTAAAAAATGCAGGGAGGACTCACCAGATCTTTACCCCTCCCAGGGACTAGTTGCCTTGAAATGCGCTGTAACCTGATAGAAACTGGAGTAGACCTGATGCTGCTGATGGAACAGGGAGCCTGCACATAATGTGTGCATCCAGGATGGCATGAGCTCGCTGTAGATCAGTGTGTGCTGCTAGGCAGGGAGCCATCACAACTGTGTGGTAATCCAGAGTGTAGTGAGTTCTGCAGTTGCCGACCTGTGTGGATCAGGTTAGTGTCCACGCCTACCATCCATGTCTTCACCCCACCAGGGATATTACCGATGGAGGATCCAAAGTGGCACTTGAGATTACAATGATTTTCTTAGATGCCGGGTCACCTGTGTAAAGCAGCTGATCCTGGTGGGGTGAAAGTTGTCAGACCTGTAAAAACACTCCTGCAATAAAATTCTGTAGGTCTGTAGAGTGCCCGGCTGCCTTTTTTGTGGCCACTGTGGAGGCCCCAAGCCATTTATTACAGTCCCGCACCCAGCCGGCTTCCTGTCTTAGGACCCCGCCACGGTGGTGAAACACCAGGCCCGGTTGCAAGTGCCACTTTTGCGACCCTGGTAGTTCTGCCACTGGTTTGGGTGATATTTGGAGACAAGATTGGTGATGCATCTTGGGGCAGAGTTGTGAATGGCTTTGTATGTTGTTGTTATTGTTTTGAATTTAAACTAATACTAAACCCAGGACCCTGCATTCACTATATCTGGTCACCTACAGTACAAAGAACATGAACATGCAATTATTTTAGTAAATATAAACTGTTAAATACCTTTTTTCATCAGGAGTTAGAGCAGTCTTGTGACTTCTATCAGTGTCCAGCTGAGCAGTGGCGTCCCGAGGCAGGTGCAGGGGGTTGGGGGCCGCACCGGGTGCCAGTTACAGCATGGGGTGACACTAGACCCGCTCCACGAAAAGGTAAGTTGTAAAGCAAGCCAACGATCCCCGCAGGATTGAGCATAATGGATTGGAGGTGGTGTCACCAAGTGTTATCACACCGGGAGACACCAACCCTAAGGATGCCCCTGCAGCTGAGCACTGGTTAAATCTTGTAGGAGGAGTTTTCATTCTGCTCTAGTAGGATGCAGAACCCCTGACCTCTGTGTGGACAGTGCTGTCACATGCACTATCCCAAAAAAAAAAAACCTCTCTAACAATACACACCAAACTGAGCATGTGCAGAGTGACTCCACACAATGTCTTATCAGGTGATAAGAGGGGGCACTGTAAGAAGGGGAGGATCAGAGAAGACAGGATCAAACAGCGTGTTTACACAATGCAGGCGATTAACCCCTTAGGTTCCACAGTGAGTATAACAAGCATACTTTACTGCATATACAGACGGATTATACTGTTGTGGGTTTAGTAACACTTTAACTCAACTGCCTTTTGCCACACCAACAATGTGACAGGATCCTTACAGTAGATGTAAACCCCTAATGAATGGCATTTAGTTTGATAATGCGCTGTGTAACATAAACAAAAGCCACTTCTTTTAATAAAATATTTATTTTCACATTTATATGCTTTTTGTTGTATCTCAGCGCTGCTGATCTCCTGCAGCTTCTATGCAGCCACATCCTATGCTCAAGCATTCCAGCTGAATGTCATTTTTCAGGATGGTTTCCTGATAGTGACAACAGTGGACTATGCTTGTGTCATGTTTTTGGCATTAATGCATTAACCAAGTGTAGTCTCCACTGGAGAATACACCAGGACAGAGAGTTTTCCCAATAAAAAGAAGTGCCTAAATAAGGACCTTCATGACAGGATAACTAGGTCATATTTTAATGAAAACTACAGATTTTTAGGACATTAAAAATTAGCTGTAAAATGATATTAACATTTTAAAGCTTATATGAGATTTTAATATTTAGGTTTACATATACATATACAGTATAAGTGCAAGGAGTTTTCATAAAAGCCTAACTCTGGGCAGACATAACAGAACACCATTTTTTACAGTTATGTAAGTAAAACATAATTAAAGAAGATTTTGAATGCACAATTTGCCGTCATGTTCCTGTAATCCTCTGTACAGCTGCACTAAGGATAGAGAACCATCAGTATCAGCCAATTGGGCTCTATAGAAATTTACAGTGCTGTCATTCTAAAGCTAGCCATGCACCAATAGGATTTTGTTTGAAATTTTTTGTTTGATTTTCTAATGATTATTGGGGTCAAATTGATGATTGTTTTTGACTGTAGGGTTAGGAATATACCATAGTGACATGAAAATTTGAAGGAGCAGGATGAAATTTTTTCTCATTTCTTATGTAAACAAATTTCTAACCATGAATGTGATTCCCTCAGGAAAAATCATACATATTGAAATGTGCATGTGCTAAGCACAAAAGAAAAATGTTTAATGTCTGAGATTCTATTCAAGCAGCAGGTCTGGATAAACTTTTAGGGCTATCAATCAAAATGATCTAACTCAATGATAGCAAGATGGAATACTCTAGCAAGCGATTTTTCAGAAGTCTGAATAAAATTTTAACTAAATTCTAATGGTATTGCCAGCTTTAGAAGAAACATGTTTACTGAAAAAGAGTACAAATGTGTGACCGTCCTCACCAGTGTGCTTCTGCTCCTGCATTCTCCTATCAGGTGGATGAGGCAGGAAGGTGACACCTATGTATTTCTCACTGCAAAAGTGAAAGTGGTGTCATCCTTCTTGCTATGTAGTATGTCAAAAGTGTGTGTATACCAAAGTGGCACACAACAACTAGGCACATGGTAGTTCACACTCACTCAGGACACAGACTGTGTTTGTCTTTTTGCAGTTTATTTGCTCCTTGGATGGAGTGAGAATAAACCTTGGGATACTCCCAAAACTTATAACAAAACTGTAATGGAGGACTCTAAGTCTGCTCTGCTCCTTCAGGGTGAGAACCACCATCTTGAATATGAAGGATTACTAGATTCCTAACAGGAAATCTTCAACAGGATTTGGTACTTCAGTACCAATCAGCTTCTTTACTTGTTGCCTGTGTCCTAGATCCTCAGATGAGTTTTCTGCATTCTTTCAGGAGGCTAGGCCAGAGGTCCCCCAGCCCAAGTCAGAGCTGGGACCCCTAAAGGATTTCTTGGTGTTGCAGGTAGTCTCCCTATGCCTCAGCCCTCAGGCTTGGTCTTACTCCCCCAGGAACAGGAGGAAACTGTTCCAGGCCACAACTTATTTATACCTATCTCAGCCCCCTGCTGGTCACTCATTTTCCTATCAAGGGATTGGCTGAAGAGTCAGAGTCAGACTTGACAAAGCGCAACTGCGCGAAACATGTCGTCTTGGTAACCCTACATATGCTCCCAGCTGAAGCCAATGCTGGACACTGCCTTCGCTTGCCATGGTGACACCACCCGGGACGCTGGTACGCTGACACCACGTGATTTGAAGCTGACAGGAGCATTCTCTGACCTCAGCTCCCCTCAGAGCGGACGGGCCATCCATTGGAGACACACTGTCTACTTCAGGCTGGTCAATTTTATTTTATTTGCTACTTTGTCTCACCCAATAAAGATGCACCTTCACTAAGGTGCTTGACTGAGAGCATTTTCCACAGCGCCTATTTTTTCCAGTTCTCTTCATTATGGTCACATGCCTGCCCTTCTCCTTAGTGCCACGATAACAAGCCACACGCATGCTTCATCACAGGCTGAATTGTGCGCATAAAGGTGGCTATGGTGGGACTCCATGGGACACTGCAAGACAGTGGCGCCAACCTCAAGATGGAAAAAGAGCATAGAGAAACTATTAAGGCTGAATGCAAACAAGTGACAGACTGCAGATAGAAACCAAGAGCAAACATGATAGGTCATGTAGTATACAGCTACAGTATATATTACTTTCACACTAAGGGTTTAATAAAAATCGGCAAACTATTGGCACTATATAAATCCTGTATAATAATAATATTTTTTTTTCTAAATTCCAACATTTAGAATCACTTTAAGTGGAGTTCCACTTTACAATCTATTGATAGCAGATCTTTTTATTGTACATGCACATTCACTAAGTGTGAGCAATTGCTAGACATCATAATGCTGGTCCCCTCTCTCAGTCTAAGTCTTGCTGCACAGTGGACTTCAGGACATGGAAATAAAGATGGTTTTCAGGGGACTACAGGACATGTATATGAAGATAAATTTCAGGGGACTATAAGACATGTATGTATAGATGGATTTAGGTATTCAAACCAGATTTATTTCAAATCACATTTAATGGGTTTAAAGGTATTCATAACCAGGTTAAAGGCTAGTGTTTTATATCTGTCTAGAATTTGGCTTCAAAAACTATTTTGTCACTGTACTTCTATAAAATTTTCTCTTTCAAAAATGTTTTATTTTCAGGAAATGCCTTGCCTTATTTGTTGACTGTGATTAGCATATTTTGGTAAATGTTGAATGAAGTGCAAATTATCTTCATTACAATGCAAAATAATAATTTCCTTTTTTTGTACAGGGAGCAACAATAATTGGTGTCTTTCATCTCTAAGAATCAATGTGCTAATCAAGCAAGAAATCCTAATGTGATTTTGTTTCAGGAATTTTTTAACGCATAACATCCGCATTTTAAAGAACAGGTTTTTACAAAGGGTAACAGTTAGCTGAGTGATTTCCTTTAAAACTGCATTAATAAAATACTGTTATTGTTATTCTTTCAATAATTTACCAACTTACTGTTACTGTTGCTATTAGATTTTACAAATAAAGAAAACTGTTGATCCAGTCCACTCAAAACTGATATTTTAGCTGTTGGTGGAAGCTGGAGAGATACCACCCAATAACTTCCCTGTTTTTTTACCAATTATTTTGTCTTTTTAATTAGTTATTAGGTCTTAGCCTTCCTCTGCAGATAGATTTGCTTTGTTTGGTCATCAATATGCTTTATTAATTCTTCATAGGACACTTTATTAAAGCTCAAAGCAAACCTATCATAGAAAAACACTGTTGCAAGTAAAAGGTACAGGTGTCTATACATAACAGACATGGACACTTTGCTTTAATGTTTGAATTAAGGACCTCTCTGACAGAGAAAGCTTCAGTAGAAAACGTGACCACCATTGCTTCCAGTACACTACTGGAATTGCTCCAGTACACTACTATTGGCCAGTGAGGCTGCCCATCATAGTGATGGGTCAATATAATTTTTTTTTGGGGGGGGGGGGGGGGGGGTTATAGTTGTAAAGGCAAGCCCCAGCATTTCTTGGAGATGAAGAACAAAGGTTGTGTACATGACATGACAAGGTCTTTAATTTTAGTGAGTGTATGTATGTGTATACAAATGTGTGTTGTGTGTTTTTCTGAACTGTCTTAGCTGCCAAAAGACAGTCAACATAACTAGGTCCCAGACATCCAGCTTGAACACACTGACCCACCAGTGGCAAAACTCAGGCTTTAGTCTCTTTAGTGTTAATGGTTTATTTTCTGAATACACTTGTGAAGAGAGGGTTACTGTATGAACAGGATACCCACAAATATCAGCAAAGCATAGCAGCAAAAATGAACAGTGAGTGTAATATCTCCAGTAGTAGCCTATCAATTATAAATAGGCTCCTGAAGCAGCCAATTAGTTTGCACCTAAAAAAGTTTAGCAGTTGCAAACTCACAGGTACCTTGCATGGTTGAGCAGCAGAAATCCCCATGCAATGTCCCCATGCAATGTCCTCCAGCAGCTTCTCCCAAGCTCTGCAGGACACTGCAGTATATGGCACAACAGATTCTTCAGAAGATGCTCTCTCTAGGTAGCCACCTTTCAGTTTCTTTGCCACAGATCTGCTTTAGACTCCTTAGTTTCAGGTTCAGGTGCCCCAAGCAGAGAGACCCTCTTCACCAGGAAGAAGCCCAGTAGACAAGACTTCTATACTGACATCTCCACCTGACAAATCCTGGGAGGTAAGGACCCTTCTATAAGGTTGCTCCATATATATATCCCCTTTCCTCAGCTAACATCACTGAAATGACACCCACAGTATTTGAACAAGGCAGACAAATATTCCTAACTGCATACATTGTTACTTCTCACAATAAATGCAGGAGAAAACTCAGCAGTAGCAGACAAAAATAATGTCCTGAGCTTAGGAGAAACTTGACAAACACAGAAAGCATAAACAAAGCTCAGGCTCGCTACAACCTAGATGCAAACACTAAATTTGGTTAGGGACGCTGCATCTTAAAATGACACAAAACAATATCCTTATTCTCCAAAAATAATCTATACACATGTATGGATTTACAGTAGGTTATAGGTTACACCATATAATCTGTTTTTCATTAAATAGTTCTTTGGTGTTTTCTGCATTTATGTAATGTCTTTTGTGAGCTCCTGAAACTTTCCTTTTCATCCTAACCCTACCCATTTTCACC